GCCACACGCCAGCCTAAGTAAAAAGCCTAAGGAAAACAGGGTGGGCAAAATGAAACGGTTTAAATCTCCACGAGGTCAAGGTCTCAGAATCTTCCAAAAGCTCCAAAGTTCCAAATTGCAACCGCGAAACGATCGAGCGATAAGGACGACGGAACGTGCAGAGTCTGCGGATGAAGAATCGTTGCAAAGGCTGGATTCCTTGTTCTAGTTAGAAGCAGGGCCCAAGATGAAGTGTCTCAGGTAAAACTGCAGGTACGTCACTGGACGTCTCCAGTGATATCAGTACCACCACAGAAGCCTCTTCGTTGGACTGTCACTTCTGTGGGGTAGACAGTCCCCCTGCTGCGCAAGGAAAACAACTGTGAAGCTAAAACAATCCGAAAGGATCCCTATGATTCCAAGGGTTACACACACACACACACACGCCCGCCCGCCCGCGCGCGTACACACTTATTGACACGCGTACTGATTCGGTTGCGGTTTGCCACACGCCAACCTAGGTAAAAGCTTGCCTGAGTAAAACGGCAAAGGCCATCGCCCAAGTTTGGCGGCCATCGCTAGTAGGTTATGTGCGCAAACAAAAAGCAGCATCAAAACTACAAGGTTGGAGGTCATCTCTAGTACGTTGGAGGCCATCGCACCAGGTTTGAGGCCTGCGCTACTAGTTCACAAGACACAAACTCAATAACTAAAAACACATCAAGCAGCAAGGTTGGAGGTCAGCGTTAGTTCGTTACGGGCCGTGGCGCCAAGTTGGAGGCCAGCGTTACAAGTTTGTAGCTAGACAAGGAAAGGGAAGCCTCCTGTTTATAGCTAGGGGCGAGACGAGCGAATCGACCCATTAGAGTAGAGTAGAGTAGAGGAGGGTAGCAGAAGGAAGGGAACCGACGCACAAGTCCGCCGAGAACCTGGATCCTGTGAGTCCAAGGGGTGCACACACACGCCTCCCGTTAAGGGAGGCGAGAAAAATTAAGGTTGCGACGAATGTGCGCGCGCGCAAGAATTACGACGTGAAAGGAGGACGAGGCTGACCGTGTGTATGGGTAAGTGACCAGGGGGACAACCGACGAACCCAACCTCCTTGTAAGAACCTGGGTGACCTGGGTTTGAGGTGTAGGTGCGCGTACAGACTAAGGCCAGGACCGATGTGCGCGCAAATTAAAGAAAGGATGAGTAGACGTCCAGACAGGGAGACATGAACGGTAAGGTTTCGGTTCGGTTGGAATCGGTTTGAATGTTTAATTGAAACTTCGAATCGGTTCGGTTTGGTTGTAGAAGTATTTTTTCATGGACTTTCGGTTCGGTTCACAGTTCGTTTCGGTTCTGTGAGGTATAAGTTTCGCAGTGGGGTGAAGAAAAGAAAGGCAATGATAAAGAGACAAGACAAGACTAGACTATAGACTTTAGACAAGACAGGACTGGACAGCGCAGGAGAAAAGGGAAAATGGAAAGCCAAAGGAAAGGAAAGGAAAGGAAGGGAAAGCAAAGAAAGAGAATAGAAAAGGAAAAGCAAGGGGAAGGACTGCAATTGTGAATATGCTTTTTCCAGGCCTTCCAAAAAGCATATTGGAAAGGAAAGCCAAGAAAAGGAAAAGGAAGGAAAGGAAAGCAAAGCAATGGACAAAACAAGAAAAGGAAAAGGACAGGTAAGGTATGCAAATTGTGAATATGCTTTTTCCTGGCAATCTAAAAAGCATATTGGAAAGGAAAGGAAGTGAAAGGAAAAGGACAAGGAAAGGAAAGGACAATGTCAGGGAACGCAAAGGAAAGGAAAAGGACTTGGAAATGGACAGGTAGGAATGCAATTTGTGAATATGCCTTTTCCATGCAGTCTAAGAAGCATATTGGAAAGGCAAGCAAAGAAAAGGAAAGGAAAAGGAAAGGACAGCATGCGCCTGAAGCGGGGCCCGGCCAGTGACATGCTGTCTGGACATTCCAGTGGGGGACTGCTGCTCTGAAACTCAAGACTTTGGACAGTCTGAAAAAACGTCACAGCGGAACAGAGCGGAACGTTGTGTTTTTCTTTTCGGTTCGGTTGTGTTTGGACAATTGGCGGTTGTTTACATTCGGTTCCTGAAAAATTTCGGTTCTAGACATTCGCTGACTTTCGGTACCGAAAGTTCGGTTCCGAATCGATTCGGGACCCTTCCAAAGTGTGTGAAGCGGAAAAGGATGAAAAGGGAACCAAATGGAGGGACAGGAACCGATGAAACCCGCGTCGCGCGCGAGGGAGGGACGGGGTAGGGAGAGAAGAGAAGAAAGAAAAGACAAGAAAGGAAACAACGGTATTTCCAGCTACGACACAACCGTCCAAGGACACACCAAAAGAAGAAGAGAAGGGTTCCCAGCTATGACGAAAGCATCCAGGGTCACCCATGCAAGAAAGTAAGGGGAAGAAAAGAAGGAGAAAAAGAAAGCAAGAGAGAGAGAGAGAGAGAGGTAAAAAGAAAGAGGAAGGAAGAAGAGGAAGGGGACAGGTGTTCCCAGCCCAGCACCAGGGAGAGGGGTGTACCTGAGTGTTGCGTCCCAAAAAAAGGCAAAGGAGGAAGAGAGGGGAGGGAAAGGGGAGGGAGGGGATTAAGGTAGACACTTATTGACTTATTGACATGCGTACTGATGCGGTTGCGGTTTGCCGCAGGCCAACCTAAGTAAAAACTTGCCTGAGTAAAACGGCGAGGGTAGGTTGGAGGCCATCGCTAGGAAGTTGGAGGCCAGCGCCCAAGTTTGGAGGCCATCGCTAGTTGGAGGCCATCGCGCCAGGTTTGAGGCCAACGCAACTAGTTCACAAGACACAAACTCAAAAACTCAATTACTTTACTTCGAGTGATCCCCACCATGACATTTCAAAACAACCACGTTGACATCACCCTCGTTGTGCGTTTCAGCCCATAGCACAAGTCCTTCAGCGCCAAGTCTTACTGTTTTGTCCGAAACGAATCTTTCATCAGGAGACCTGTGCCCAACTAATAATACAACTCAGATCATTTCACCTGGGAAACTTCAAGGGCCCGAGCAGTAGTAGTAGTAGTAGTAGTAGTAGTAGTAGTAGTAGTAGTAGTAGTGGTAGTGGTAGTGGTAGTGGTAGTGGTAGTAGTAGTAGTAGAAGTAGTAGTAGTAGAAGTAGTGGTAGTAGTAGTGGTAGTAGTAGTAGTGGTGGTGGTGGTGGTGGTGGTAGTGGTAGTGGTAGTAGTAGTAGTAGTAGTCGTGTCGTGGCGGTGGTGGTGGCGGTGTTGGTGGTGGTGGTGGCCGTGTGGTAGTAGTAGCCATAGTAGTGCACTGTTCGGGGCCCGAAACCTGGAAGCTTCCGGGGCCCGAGTAGTAGGAGTAGTAATATGTACATTACTTGCTGTAGGATGTTGCCTGTCTCCTCGAATTGCGTCCGACCACAGTCACTCTCGCATATCTTCGATTTGATTCCTCCCACACTATGGTGAGCTTTGTGGTTCTCGATTTTGCTCGGGTCCTCCGGTTGTGTGTTGTGGTTGTGTTGCGATTGTGTGTGGTTGTGTGTTTGTATTTGTGTGTTTGTGGTTGTGTTTGTGGGGTGTGTGTTTGTGGTTGTGATCGTGGTTGTGTGTTTGTGGTTGTGTTTCTGGTTGTGATCGGTTGTGTGTTCGCGGTTGTGTTTGTGGTTGTGTTTCTGGTTGTGTGTTTGTGGTTGTGTGTTTGTGGTTGTGTTTGTGGTTGTGTGTTTGTGGTTGTGTATTTGTGGTTGTGTGTTTGTGATTGTGTGTTTCTGATTGTGTTTGTGGTTGTGTTTGTGGTTGTGTGTTTGTGGTTGTGATCATGGTTGTGCGTTTGTCGTTGTGTTTGTGGTTGTGTGCTTGTGATTGTCTGTTTGTAGTTGGGTTTGTGGTTGTGCGTTTGTGGTTGTGTATTTGTGGTTGTGTTTGTGTTTGTGGTTGTGTTTGTGGTTGTGTTTTTGGTTGTGTGTTTGTCTTTATGTGTTTGTGATTGTCTCTTTGTAGTTGTGTTTGTAGTTGTGTGTTTGTGTCTGTGTGTTTCTGATTGTGTTTGTGGTAGTGTGTTTGTGGTTGCGTTTGTGGTTGTGCGTTTGTGGCTGTGTTAGTGGTTGTGTTTGTGGTTGTGTTTGTGGTTGTGTGTTTGTGTTTGTGGTTGTGTGTTTGTGGTTGTGTGTTTGTGGTTGTGTTTGTCACTATGTGTTTGTGATTGCTCTTGTCAGATTGTTGTTCTGTATGTAGTTGTGTGTTTGTGGTTGTGATCGTGGTTGTGTGCTTCTGATTGTGTTTGTGGTTGCGTGTTTGTGGTTGTGTTTGTCGTTATGTGTTTGTGATTGTCTCTTTGTAGTTGTGTTGGTAGTTGTGCGTTTGCGGTTGTGTATTTGTGGGTGCGATTGTGGTTGTGTGCCGTGGTTGTGTTTGTCGTTGTGTTTGTCGTTTTGTGTTTGTGGTTGTGTTTGTCGTTATGTGTTAGCAATTGTCTCTTTGTAGTTGTGTTTGCAGTTGTGTGTTTGTGGTTATGTGTTTGTGGTTGTGTTTGTGGTTGTGTTTGTGGTTGTGTGTTTGTGGTTGTGCTTTTGTGGTTGTGTGTTTGTGGTTGTGCGTTTGTGGTTGTGTGTTTGTGGTTGTATTTGGGGTTGTGTTTGTGGTTTTGTGTTTGCGGTTGTGTGTTTGGGGTTGTGTGTTTGTGGTTGTGTTTGTGGTTGTGTTTGTGGTTATGTGTTTTTGGTTGCGTGTTTGTGGTTATGTGGTTGTGTTTGTGCCTGCGTTTGTGGTTGTGTGCTGTGGGTGTGCTTGCGGTTGTGCGTTTGTGGTTGTGTTTGTCGTTTCGTGTTTGTGATTGTCTCTTAGTAGTTGCGTTTGGGATTGTGTGTTTCTGATTGCGTTTGTGGTTGTGTGTTTGTGGTTGTGTTTGTGGTTGGTTTGGTTTTTGCGGTTGTGTGTTTGGGGTTGTGTGTTTGTGGTTGTGTTTGTGGTTGGGTGTCTGTGGTCGTGTGTTTGTGGTTATGTGGTTGTGTTTGTGCTTGCGTTTGTGGTTGTGTGCTGTGGTTGTGTTTGTGGTTGTGTGTTTGTGGCTGTTTTTGCGGTTGTGTTTGTTGCTATGTGTTTGTGATTGTCTCTTCGTAGTTGTGTTTGTAGTTGTGCGTTTGTGGTTGTCTGTTTGGTTGTGTTTGTGGTTGTGTGTTTGCGGTTGTGTTTGTGGTTGTCATCGTGGTTGTGTGTTTGTGTCTGTGTTGGTGATTGCGTGTTTGAGCTTGTGTGTTTCTGATTGTGTTTGTGCTTGTGTGTTTGTGGTTGTGTGTTTGTGGTTGTGTTTGTGGTTGTCTGTTTGTGGCTGTGTTTGTGGTTGTGTTTGTGGTTGTCATCGTGGTTGTGTGTTTGTGGTTGTGTTTGTGGTTGTGTGTTTGTGGTTGTGTTGGTGATTGCGTGTTTGTGGTTGTGTGTTTGCCGTTTGCGGTTATGTGTTTGTGGTTGTGTTTGTGGTTGTGTGTTTGTGGTTGTGTGTTAGTGGTTCTGTGTTTGTGGTTGTGTGCTGTGGTCGTGTTTGTGGTTGTGTGTTTGTGATTGTCTCTTCACAGTTGTGTTTGTAGTTGTGCTTTTGCGGTTGTGTGTTTGTGGTTGTGTTTGTGGTTGTGTGGTTGTGGCTGTGTTTGTCGTTATGTGTTTGTGATTGTCTCTTTGTAGTCGTGTTTGTAGTTTTGTGTTTGTGATTGTTTTTGTGATTGTGTGTTTCTGATTGGGTTTGTGGTTGTGTGTTTGGTGTTGTGTGTTTGTGGTTGTGTTTGTGGTTGTGTGTTTGTATTGTGTGTTTGTGGTTGTGTTTGTCGTTATGTGTTTTTGATTGTCTCTTGTCAGATTGTTGTTCTGCTTGCGGTTATGTGTTTGTGGTTTTGTTTGTGGTGGTGTGTTGCGGTTGTGTTTGTGGTTGCGTTTGTGGTTGTGTGTTTGTGGTTGTGTTTGTGGTTATGTGTTTGTAATGGTGTGTTTGTGATTGTGTGTTTCTTGTTGCGTTTGTAGTTGTGTGTTTGTTGTTGTGTTTGTGGTTGCGTTCGTGGTCGATGTCCGGCAGGGAACACTGGGCGTGGATGGTCGTGGTTGAGGTCCGGCAGGGAACACTGGGCGCGGATGGTCGTGGTTGAGGTCCGGCAGGGAACACTGGGCGCGGATGGTTGTGGTTGAGGTCCGGCAGGGAGCACTGGGCGTGGAAGGTCGTGGTTGAGGTCTGGCAGGGAACACTGGGCGCGGGTGGTCGCGGTTGAGGTCCGGCAGGGAACGCTGGGCATGGATGGTCGTGGTTGAGGTCCGGCAGGGAACACTGGGCGTGGATGGTCCGGCGGAGGACGAGAAGGAGAAGGACAAGGAGAAGAAGGAGAAGGAGGAGGAGATAGGGCTGACATAAAATCTAACAACCCTCACCTGACAGGTGGGGAAAAACACATCAAGCAGCAAGGTTGGAGGTCAGCATTAGTTCGTTAGAGGCCGGGGCACCAACTTGGAGGCCAGCATTGTAGCTAGAAAAGGAAAGGGAAGCCTCCTGTTTATAGGGCCAGGGGCGAGACGAGCGAATCGCCCCATTAGAGTAGAGTAGAGGAGGGTAACAGAAGGAAGGGAACCAACACACAAGTCCGCCGAGAACCTCTTCCTTCTGTTACCCCTAGGAACCAAAGTTTACACAGTGAAGCGTCCCCCGCTGCATCAGCACCAACTGATACCCTCTTCGTTGGACGGGCAGTATCAGTGGTGACCCGTCCCTGAAAAAAGATCCAAAAGAATCCCTGTGAGTCCAAGGGGTGCACACACATGCGTTCCCGCAAGGTACATGAGCGGCGACTTCCAAACAAAGAATCTGAGGACTTGAGTGCGCTTGTGGCAGGTGTGCAGAGGGAGTGCCCAAGTGCTGTTGCAGTTAACTTTCTGGTGTGAGGGATGTTAAGGACGCATGTCGCAGATGATGGACGTTTTTTATTCACAAACTGAGTGTAGCAAGACAACTCAGGACATTAGCCATACACAGGTGCCGCAGCCAGGAGGCTTGGCTCGAATCCTTGGTCAGGACGGTCGATAGATGACTGGAATTGATGGGTTTGAGGTTTGAACCCAACATTTGAAAATTATTTATGCTATGAAGATGCCTTTGATTCTTTTGATTTTGTTTGGCAACCTGCGCCCGTGTAGGTGGCATTTCATCAACTGCATCCACTTTGCGTCGCTCTGATGCTCCACTCTCAGGATTTGCACTGTTGTCTCAAGTTGTTGCGTAGGTGTCCGCAATGGGTGGCGTGAAGCAAGAGGAAATGAAAATGGTCACATGTCACAGTCAGTCGGCAGTCGGCTCGCCGTCTTCATGGTGCCCCAGCATTGCTTTGCTTTGTGGCTTTGCTACTGAGGTGTTTTTGTATGTCGTTACAAGACTTCCAGTACTTGCTTTGATGTTGGGTACCGGGTATGGTAAAAAGTGGAGTAGGTCTCCATAATTTGGTGTGGCCAGCCCGCAGCCTTCGTAGTCATATCAGCAAGTGCCGGAACCAGCAATGACCAGTTGGTAAGGAGCTGTCGCGAATGTAGCCGACATCTGGACAAACGATAGGCCCTCACAGGCACCACCCGCTTCAGCAACAACCGGATCAAAGCAGTTTCTTTTCTCCAGCTGTGTTCAAAGGGTGGCTAGGACCAAAAAAACTATAGGCCCACCTCTTAAGCTATGACCTTGTTGTTCATGTCCTCTTTGTTGCTCTGTGGTTTTGGTAGAAACCCAAACGTATATGCACACGTGAAAACCTTTCTGTGTGGAAAGGGAGGGCAAACTGAAGTACATGCCATGCCATGCTTCATGTTGTCCGTTGCAGGTGGCTTTCATCTCAAGCCACTGATTGAGGCTTCTTGATTAGGTAAAGCACATTTGCCCAACATGTTTCTCCGCTCCCGTGACTTGGCTATGGTCAACCGAGGGGCCTTTGATTTTCTTTGGAGTCGCGGGTAGACCAAGCTTCTAACCCTTAGGAGTCAGACTTGGGTGCAGTGACCTATATAATGTCTTCATGATGTATGTTGAGTTCTTCTACCACGCCTCACCTATGAGCTCTAGTGTAGAAGAGACAAGCGCGGTGACCCGCAGTCTAATCGTGGGTGACCTCTGGCATTGAGGGAGTCAAAGCGGCCATTTGGAAGCAGATTTTGAGTAGATGGGGAGCATATATATATATTAATATATAATAGATAAATGTCCGAAAGACTGGATGCAACCGTTTTCGTTGGTTGAGCATCCAAGGCATTCTGCGTGCTGCTTGCTTGCACTTTGGGAAGTTGTGTAGCTTGTGGAATGTGTACACGGTCAGCATTAACAAGCGTCCAATTAAGTCTCCAATAATACATCATTCACTCACAAACTACAACATTTGTCTCTCTACTTTTGCTCTCTTGAACTTCAAGATGGAGAGTGAAGCGCCATTGTGTGTTAGAGGCCGGTGGCGGCGGCATCGCAGACAAGATGTTCCCTGGCTACAAGGAGACCTCGGATTGTACAGCATGAGTGGCCACTTGTTTTCTGGCGCCCGCGACGGTTTTTCCAACCGTACTTTGTCACCACAGTGTGATGAACAGGTCACGCCACAAGGTCAGATGTCAGACTATTGAAGGGCTATTGAAAGCACTGCATGATTGACTCGAAGAGGGTATTCTTGGCCAGGACAAGATTTGGGCAAAGCTACCGCAGGGTGTCAAGGAATACCAGGCGACTTGCATTTGAGCATGCATTTCTCTTTGCTATGTTCAACGCTTTGCAAATTAGCTATTGGTTTCCGAGCCTCCCGAGCTTGCCTGTAGCAGATTTTCTGACTTTGATTTCCGAGGTGAAGAGCGCCAATGACGCCTTTGAAAAACACATCAAGCAGCACCAGACATGGCAAGGCCACTCTATCATACCACCAAGTGGACCGGAGGTCTGCCCTATTGACGTGAACTTCTCAAGCCCGACTTATTGAGGTTGTTTGCTGATTCCGCACGCTACTAGGAGCAAAGGGCATCGCTACTAGGAGCAAGAAAGCTACTAGGGGCTCCTGGCCTTACTACTAGGAACAATGTTTGCTATTAGAAACAATAGATAGAGTCAGAGTTCCGTTTCTTCTTTGTTTGATGATTTCTTCAATGTTCGTCTACTCTACTACTTGTCTGAAAAAGAAACTTGCTGCTAGCTCGATGGATCCACTTCTCTCAACTAGCTGTGCCCAATTTAAGTCTCTTTGTTGTTTTCATTTCTTTCCTATCAAGGACTAAATCTTCTGAGTTTTGATTTTTAATCACATGAAGAGCATGTGGGCAACTTGATTTGTGTCGACTAAAGCGTGCATGTTGCTCAATGTGGAGCTTGCTTGAGGGTGCTCCGCGCTTGTTCTCCCCATCAGGCTATCTCTTGGCTTGGAAGGACCAGCGCATCGCGTGCTTTGCTGTTGTCTTCGAGTCATCTGCAGTGCATCGTCTTTCTTTCGCTCGAATGTTTCGTGAGATCATCCTGTGCAGAGATACAGGCAACACTAATTAGTTGACACGAAAGCAGTCTGGACACTTTGACATGTAAAAGTAAAAGTCTAAATTGTAGTGCTTCCTGTTTACTTTTGAGCCTATCTGCTCAACGCACCATCCTTCACTGGGCTCCACAGCCCCAAAGTCTTAAACAAGACGAGGACATGGAGGCTGGCTTTATGCCTTCACAGAAGTTCCGCAAGCCTGCAGTAGACTGGCGCAGGCTCAGTTCTCAGAAGTTCAGTTGAGATGGAGGATTACAAAACATATTCAACACTGTGCAAATTGCGACATCCATTTGTGTGGAGTTGGGGCAGGTGGCAGGTATGAAGAACATGTATTTTTGAAGCAATGTACAGTTGAGGCAGATGGAACGTGGAACGATGCACTACGGCCGATGGTCCTCTGCCTTGTTTTCGCAATGCATGAAAGTCGCCTCTGGCATTTGCAACTGGCTTGCTGGTTTGCTAAGTTGCTAGCCTAGAATAGATAATGTGGCAGACTTACCTGAGTCACACGAAGGGACGGGTCCAAATGAATCCCTTGGCATGACAGGTATGAGGGCCCCAACAACACGGACTACCGCCCAGGCAACACTCACGACCGTCTGACGGCGGATCCGCTCGGAGGCCCAGGAGCCACCTTCACAATAGGCTTAATAGATCTTAATAGCCCTAACCGAGTAGATTGGGAATTCTGCTGACCTTTCCTTTTCTTGCACAGTTCTCCTTTGAAAGCATTCAATTCAGGAAGACTATCTCAATGGCCCATTCTTGGTTCTGAAGCTGTCAGCTCTAAGGCGAGCCCCATTCACGGAGGCGGAGTGGGAAGAACGAAAGCAATACAGGCGCAGCCTAGCAGAGGGAGTGATCTGCAAATGCACATGTTGTTTCGAAACATGCTCTTTCCAAAGACTTTCCACAGTCGTTTTGATAAAGCTTCAAACATTTTAAACAAGTGTTTTTGTTTCGTTCAGGTCGTGGGATTTGGTGAAGTTCGGCTATGGGCTTCTGGCTCTCTTTCTTGGGCCGGAGCCACAGGTCTCCACATTCTCCCTAATTAGGAAAAGAGGATAAAAGAGGGGTAGAGATGGTGGAGAGTAGAAATATATATGTAGAAAAAGCATGCAGCATACCACACGGCCCAGGTGGCCCGGGGCTCCTAGCTTGGCATGTTCGGCAATCTAAGCCGAGGTACCGCGTGACCAACGAGTGGCCAGTGGTTTGGTGCGAGGAGAAGGCAGTGCAGTTTGTCGAGGGGCAACAAGACTCGTTATAATATGTGTTTCCGAAAGACTGGGGGAACTGGGTTGTGCTAGTTCCACATTTTGTTCTTTGCAAGAGCATAGCAGGAGAAGATGACGATGTGACGGCCAATGGGCTTTGCAGCTTCAATGGAAACTTATTTGTGAATCAAATATGCCAGATTTCAAGCCTACCTTTCATTCTCGTTACGAGGTGCATTTGTAGTCGTTAAATAGACAAGACATTGCAAGGAGAGAACATGTTGATGAACTTGAGTTTGATACTCCTATTCCTATTGATGGACTTTGCAAGACACCTTCCTGGTCGATGCACCATATACGTCGAGTCTCAATACAACCGCAACACTTCCTCTTGGAAGCAAGCTGACTCGTCCCGAGGCAATTGGATGAATTGGCACCTAGCATCGGTTTTCGGAGGACGGATTGACACTTCCACAAGACCGCAACAACTTTCTACGCAACACACATATATATATATATATATATACAAGCCGTAGAAGAGGATTGCGAACACAGATGCTCAGTCCTTCATGGAACAACACTGTAACCACGTCCACACATTAGAAGCAGCGTTTGGCTTCATACATTTGCATAAACCGCAGGGCGCGGCTTTTTGACCAAGGCGCAAGATGTCATTAAAAAATTGGCAGGGGGATGAGAAGCTGAATATAGAATTGGAAAGACCAAGTTGAACATTTTTTCCCTACAAATGCGATATGGCATGGGTCGAAACAAAGCCGGTTGGCCTCCCGCCTACCATGAACGCTGTGTAGACGTGATTGTCGTAATTTTCGCCTTGGATTCCGCAGAACCAAAGACATGATTCGGAGACATGTTGGATACAGACGCCCTGTCAATTGAAGGACAAGGGCTTTATACAATCAGTGAGAAGCACCTTGCTGTGAAAGAAGGTATTGGGCATTCTGCTTGCGCGAAGTATTTAAACTGAAACAACCTTGGTGAAGCAGTGCCACTTTGTGCTGAAGTAAACATGCCTGCCACTCGATTTGGCGTCGCCTGAGGTTTGAAAGACCAGGTGGACTGAATCCCACGGAATGGACACACTGCTTCGCAGCAAAATCGGGTTGCAACATGAAACTCTCACATTCAGCACAACTACGCTACTAGTAAGCATTGGTTCCGTCGGGTCGCCCAGGCTGGGGAGCCAAAGCGCTACGCACGTCCAGGGTCGACCAAGAGCTTAGGCGAGCATTTGGGGAGCTTGTCTTGGACGTATTCAGTCCACTTGTCTTGCTCATATAGACTGCGCTCAAAAAGCCCTACTCAATAAATATAGATAAACGTAAACGTTTAGGGTTGGAGATGTGTTTTTAAGTCTCCGTTTAGAAGCGGGCCCCCAGCAGACTATGGTCTGATACAGCAAGGCAGCGCTAGATTGGCTCTGGATTTCTTCATAACAGGATAAGCAAGCAGGACAAAGAAACATGCAGAGAGCAGGAAAAAGAAGAAGCTCTTACATCCAAATCTTTTGAGTCAGCTCTTACATCCTTCCTATGTCGTCCTGAAGATTTCTGAGAACGAAAATGGGAAAGTCCAGCTGCAGCAGTAGCAGCAACGACAGCTCCAGCAGCTCAACAGGCCCCTGAAAAGGTCCGCGCTAGACACCTCTCACAGTTTTGGCAGTTGGCATGCCTTCATGTTTAACATCCCTGTGGTTTGAGTGTGGTTGGAGTTTAAAGGAGATTTAGAAGCGGGCCCCCATGGAATTGCGATGAGCGCACCATTTTGGGAAAAGACATTTTGGAAACCAACCATATCATCTGGCAAGAATTATTTTCAAGAAACGCTGGTGTTCGAGACTGGTGCCAATCGAAAGGTCCCTGTTGACAGTATCCTTGTGTCTGTCCTTTTTGCCAGATGCCGTGCAGCTTGCTGGAGAAGGGTACACCCCCGCCACAGCAGCGCTTCGATAGAGGTCTTGGCCAATGCATTTGGACCGAGACACTTACCAAGCACAGCAGCAAGAATATTCAGGATGATTGCAATTTTCTCTGCAGCGACCACACTAGCAGCTTCTGCATTCCGTAGGTTCGCACGAGCTTTCTACAAAAACCCTGAACTGTTCCTGGGCAGAGGTGCATTGAAGGGTAGGTTGGCGGCGAAACTTGGCAGTCTAGTCGCGCTGGATGGTTCTTGTGCAGGCATTTCATTCCTGCTCCAGTCTGCATGGTTTGCATGGTTTTGCTCAAGACATTTGACTAGTGACCAGTACTCAGCCACAGACAGCATTTTGAACATACGCTTTCTACCAGATGCAAGATCATTGACAAAGTTATGATCAAAACCATGTGAGACATGATGCAGACACATGGCCATTCCCGTGCAAGCCGAATTGCAGTTTACGCGAATATAAGTGAAGTCCTTGTTGGTTTGTAGCGCATTTTTGCATCAGATCAAAGCAGACCAGTGCATCATGTTTAAATCTAGCCGCAGTTGCAAGACTGTACTGTCGTATTTTCAGTCATGACGCGCAGAGCAGCCCCTGCATGTTTGATATCTTGGATGTGCTTGTTGAACTTCAGCATAGTAATTTCTGGATGATTGTCATTGCTGTCGTCGTTGTGACATGCTGTTGCGCTGGTCCTGTTGCTGTTGAATGACGCTGGCATCATGATGGAGCCCTTTCATCACCCAAGTCATCACCGCTGTTCATCACAAGACTTCATTCCTATAGTTTACACGCTTTGAAGCTTCAGCCCGGCCGGTCTGCCGGAGAATTGCCTTGTATGACTTGTATGGATATGCCTTATTATGCTCAATATTGCTTTATTTGATGCCGATAGATCTTTCTGAGAGCCAATTAATTTAGTGCACCGCACCTATATATTACTATTAGGACACTATATTGTATTGGGACACTTTATCTATTTTGGTCCTGGGAAAAGGCATCTGGACTTAGATGATTTACCACCTGCTTTTAGCAGCTCTATCCCCATGTTTGGTTTCGTGCACATTGCGTTCAGGACACCTTTCGTTTTGTTGATGCTGCTCAATTTTCTATTGTTACCTGCATGCGCGTTCCAGGTGGGGCTCCCTTTTTTCCACCCTTGAACAATGTTTTTTTCACCCTCAAGATTCCTTTTTTCTCCACCCTTTGGAACATTTTTTCCACCCTTCCAAAACCTTTTATTTTCACCCTGCACCCTATCATTTTCACCCTGTAGCATGTTTCTTTCACCCTCTGAACCTTCTTTTTTCACCCTTTGAACCTTCTTTTTTCACCCTCGAACCTTTTTTTTTCACCCTCGACCCTTTCTTTTCAACCCTCCGCCGGTGAAGCAGGTAATGCCTGGAACCTGCACAGAGAACGATGTCACCTCCGGTGTGTTTCACACCGCTTGTCTGCACCTGCCAAACCCTTTGTTTTCACTTCAATAACTTCTTGTTACTAACCCTTCGGAACCCTCCGGAAATTGCGCAGAGACTGTCCGGAACGACAGGAACCGCCGGAAACCCGGGCGCCTCCGGAACGTGAGGCAGCGCAGGATCCATCCATCCATCCATCAACGGGGTGCCAACCAACCGACCAACCAACCAAGCAACAACGCAGCCAAGCCAACAAACCAACCAAGCAACCAACAAACCAAGCAAAGCCGCCACATAACTCCGTGTTTTCCCCAAGTGCTGTAGATACTAGAAATCCCGTGCGGGGGAGGCTTGGTTTGCATTGCGGGGGAGGCGCTGCGCCCTCCCCACTTACACAGCATCCATCCATCCATCCATGCATCCATCAACGGAGTGCCAACCAACCGACCAACAAACCACGCAACAACGTGGCCAAACCAACAACCCCACCAAGCAACCAACAAACCAAGCAACCAAAACCACCCATCCCGTAGCGCTGCGCCCTCCCCCGCACCCCCTCCCGCCTTTATTTACACAGCATCCATCCATCCATCCATCCATCCATCCATCAACCAAGCACACAAACAGAAAAAATTGCATATCCATCAAGCGCTGTATCACGCAAGCACTCACTGCAAGCAAGCCAACAAACCAACACACTAAAAAATATCCTTTTTCTCCCTGTCCATGATCCATCCATCACTGTGTTTTCCCCAAATCCAAGCCACCAGCAAACCAATCAGCCAAACTGTGTTTCCCCCAAATGCTGTCGATACTTGCTTTGCATTGGTAGCCCACCAGGCAACCAACAAACCAAGCAACCAAAACCACACAACCCTGTGTTTTCCCCAAAGGCTGTCGATACATTACAACAAGATAGCCAACCAACCAATACACCAAGCAAAGGAAGGAGGGTGAAAAAGAACGGGTCGAGGGTCAAAAAAGAAAGGGTAGAGGGTGAAAAAAGAAGGTTCGAGGGTGAGAACAGAAGGTTCAGAGGGTGAAAAAGAAAGGTGGAGGGTGGAAAAAATGGGGCGGGGTGAAAAAGAGATGGTTCAAGGGTGAAAAAAAGGCGCCCGTTCCAGGTGGGCATGTAAAAGCTATGTTATTACTTGATTGTTTGGTGGCTTTGTCCCGTGCCCTTTTGCTTGTGCTGAGCTTTGGTCAGCTTTGCGGGAGGATGCGCATGAACAGCATCGTTTCTTGACCCTTCAAAGCCAGGTCCGAAATGTCGACGTGGATGACTGGGATGACGGTTGGGGAGACGACTCTTGGGGGGGCGGCTGGGGAGGCCCGGCTCGACCAAGACAACACTATCGTTGAACTGTGAGCTCTCTCTAGATGCAGATTTCAGCGCGATACATCCTTTTTGTCAATATGCCCAGCTTGTGGAATTGGAATTTGGGTGCGTTTGTGCACCAAACAGGCGGTTGGGACGAGGCTCGCCCTCATAACTCCTGCATCCTGCGTTTGCATGAAGATCAATTCATTTCATTCATTCAACAGATGTTGCAAACCTTTTTGTACGTATCCAGGGCTACGCGAAGCCCAAGCCAAAGCCAAAGCCAAAGGCCAATGTGATTCCTGGCATGGCACCTGCCAAGGCCCGTTTTGTTTGGACATCACAACCTCCGGAAGATGTTTGTTTTTTCTTTAAGTTTCCAAAACATCTAGGAACCAAATGAATAGTGCGAGGGCTTCTTCATTGAAGGAGCCTGAGCTTTCCTTACTGGTTCCGAAAAACATCTCTTAATATATCTCTTATTTCTCTTATAGATTCTTAATATTATTAGATCATCGTTGTTTGTTTGTTTGTTGGTTGGTTTGTTTGTTTGTTTGTCTGTCTGTCTGTTTGTTGGTAGTTTGTCTGTCTGTCTGTTTGTTTGTTGGTTTGTTTGTTTGTTTGTCTGTCTGTTTGTTTGT